AAACACATCATATAAGTTCCCTCTTTGTGACAGTGCAATTGCAGATTGGGATGAATGACCAGACAACTCTCCTGAAACCAACATGTCGTTTAATAGCAGGATGAGCATTCAAAGCAAAAGTAAAATACTTGACACACAATCTAACTACAATGGTTCTTATCTGAAGCCTGAAATTTGTAGGAAAGTGACCTATTTTAGACACTGCAGACATTGCTTTTATAAAGAAAAAGTTTCCCAAGTTATTTTCCTCATGATAAACCCCTTTTAAAACTTGAGGAAAAGGCTAGGAACAAGTAGTCTCATTTGGACATTGTCCGTTACCAATCTTTAATCTCAGAGAGAGGCTTAAATTATTTCCTATCTGCTTCTTCGCTCACTTTCAATCACCAAATGGAACTCGTGCATTTTTAGATCAAACAGCTCCACCAAGTACGCAGTTCATCTTTTTCCCCTTGCCTTCTTGCACAATATGGCACATAAAAACAGGTTCTTTCTTGAAAAATAGTGTTCTATTTCAATACTGTATTCACATTTACAGGCAACAGAGCTCAAAGTTTGACACCCAAGCTTTTCAGTGAAATGTGAGTTTTCCATTTCTGGAGGCTGGTGGATAACTCCAGTAAGTGACAGCTTAATCTAGGGTACCAATATTCTCTCCATACCCATTTTCATCATTTTTAGATCAGGTTCAATGTCCTCACTGTGATAAATCTCCTATAAAGATTTCTGCCTCCACTATGAGTGGGATATGGAGCAATAACTAAACCGCTGCAGTTTATCTCCCAGAGGTATAAAAGTAAAAGAATACCACGTTCCTAAACAAACTGGGCAGAAACTGTGACAGTTCAATAGCAGCTTCTTGTGCAGTTCAGCTATTCCTGCAAGAAGAAAAATCCTGTCCTGGATAGCAGGAGAGATTGGATGGATGAGGGCACAATCTCTCATGGGTAGTGATGTAAATCATTCTTTCAAGCCAGAAGGAAGTCAGCCCACTTTCACTTTCTAGGACTATCATGTTCAACTACATTTAAGCTACTGGTACAGATTCTGAGGTCTAAATGAATAATCTGATAGGCTGTGATGGAATGAATATCAATATCTGAATGGATGATCAGCCTTATTAAATTGAATGGGACAAATGCATTCTTATTTTGTACCTTAAAAGTAATTTGATAGTTTTCATCAGTGCATACAAAGTACGTCCAGCCTTGCTGATTCAGAGTTTAAGAGCTTACGCTGCAGATATACGTCACCAAGTTTTGGTAATGAAGTCTATCTCATATCAAATGCATGGAGTTCATTGAAACTTGAGGAAGACTTTGGCATTACTCTGAACACATTCTGAACATGCTCCCATGGCGCTGTTGCATCCATTCACATTGCTTCCTACTAGAAAGCAGCCTGCTACTCACCTTATGCCTTATTAAGAGCACTTGTTTTTTGTATTTCTTGTTGTAAATCTGTAATTCCAACTTTTTGTTTTCTTTGCATAGTTAGATTCACAGATATTACAGACAGTTCAATCACACATTTCATTTCCCTACAAATGAAAGCTTCCAAACGCTAGTACTTCATAAAAGCATGAGCAACTACCTTTAAAGTTAGCCCTTCATTTGTACTTTTTTTTTATTTTCCAATCGATATATGATAAAATATTTGGAATAGCTACAAGGTGCATACCGAACCAAAAAACAGCTACTATTTTAACTGAGTCTGAGAAATAGACTTCGGAGGTGTCAGAATCTCAGAAAGTCACCTGTCAATCAGCTCACCTCTGTGTGTACCTCCTTGATCCAAGCAGATACAGCTCCCCCAGTATTACATTTCCCAAAGATTTCTTCCCCACCTGTCATTACTGACAAGCCATTGTTCTGTATTCAGCAACCAATGCAGCAATTCCCATACACATAAAGTCTGACAGTCATTAATATACATGAGTGCTACAATTTATCCTCCAGTTGACCTAAATACACATCCACCTGTTACGTATCGAGAATGTGACAGTCTCATTCCCTAGGACAGTTTTGAGGAATTAAGCAAGTTCAGTCACTCACAACTGCAAATTATTTTCATAACTGTACAACGGAGACAGTCACAGGAGACATCAGTTGTCACACTCCCACTCCACTGTGGGGATTTAAAGAATGAAGAATTACTGGAAGGGGTATCCTAACACAGTATCAGCAAGAAACTAGAGGCTGAAACTGTAATTGGAGCCCGTGTCTTATTCATTACCTAGTGTAAGAATTCATCTTCTTATGCTATTGGGTCCTATTTTCCCCCAAAACCACATTTCAGTCTAACTGCACCTCTCATCACTGCCTACCTTTCATCTTCCGCCCTTAGAACATTGTGCAAAAAAAAAATGAAATAAAAAGAAAAATCATACAATTATAGAACTAATATCAATAGGTATTTTTAGTATTTCAGGACTACATTTTTGGCCTGAGCAGCTTAAGCAGCAGCTGAATACCCTAATCTTTGTAAAAAGCTATTAAGTAACACAGCACCTGGAAAGTCTGCAATGGAAGATGTAAACCCTTAGCTATCAACAACAGGGCTGACTGACATAACTGACATCTGACTTCGTAGTAGTCGGATGAACCAAAAATGAACACACAGCTCCTCCAGCTCTAGTCACCTTCACAACATCACCTAGATTACAAAAAGATATGAAATCTTTATTTTTCTACCTCTATAACAATTTGTGGGCATCATCAACAACAAAAGCCTACTGAGAAACATGAAATTCAGTACTCTCAATTAATAGACAGAAAAACAGAGACAAAGGCAAAATCACTTTTTCAAGATTATCGAGCAAGTAAATGGCAGAGTATAATCACAATTCCAAGCCTTCTAGTTTATAATCCTATAATCCTCTTTCCAAGAGTCTGTATGTGGTACCAACTAAACTGTCTAAATGATGGCCATAAACACTCCATTCTTTTGAACCCTCCACCCAGGTATCACAAATCGACCATTCAGATGATGACACATGAATAATCCATAGCCGTATCAAACAATTGATATTACTTCAAATTTTAAGTTTTTGACCAGCACTAAATTCAACAGTTTTAATTGAAAAAACATTTTTTCTTAATTATAAGTTGTTGAAACAGGCTGCTGAGTCTGTATTCTACAATAACCTAAGCTAATGCTTTGGGCTTGAAGAGGAAATGTAAGCATAGTGTTTTGTGCACCTCTCTCCAGTACAGTAATTGTACCTATAAGTTTCATTCCCTGTTGCAGAGAGGAATTATGACTGGATTTAACAAATACCAAGCTGATATGAGTAAACGTGCCCCTGAATTCCACACGCAACTACATTGTGATTCAAACTTGTGATCAATTGCTACTCCTATCCCTAACAATTCAAACTTACAGATCTCCCTTTTCAACATTCAACGCTGCTCAGTCTGAAATCCAGCACAATTCGTTATATAATCAATGAATATACAGATGTTATAATTAAGAAATATACAAGTTAGGCTTACCCTTGTCCTGGGCTCACCAAAAGGACTCCAAGAGGAGTGATCTCCAGAAGAGATCCTTCCCCACTGGTAGTCAGCTCTTAAATGGGGTCTTCCCGTGGCGCAGCTGAATTGCCTTCACCTGTGCTCCCAGGGCTGACTCACTGCTCACCTCAGGTGGTCAATCAGAGGTTCAGGCCATGATTCAGCAATTCTCATACATTTGTCTTTTAACAGGGCACCAGTCTTTTATTTCTGACAGAATCATGGAGCTGGATGAACTGTTTGAGAGGCTATTACCTTCCCCCAGAAATCTCACAGACTCACTTCATCAGATGGGCAACTCGTTTAACCCATGGCTCAGTCCCAGCATATTCCCCATGATCATCTAGAAAAAGGGTTGAGAAAATCACTGGGTTTTCTAAACTTATTTATGCTGTTTACCTTAAAGGGATCTTAATAGCTACACTCATCAACTACTATAGGGGTTTACAACATATGGGACTTTTTTGCCAAAGGAAAATATACACCAGACACCTAAAATAAAAGGGAACTGTCAACTTGAATTGGAAAATTAGAGCTTTTAAAGACTCCAGTTAGATTGCTTAATTGGTAATGTGCATTAAAGCAGGAGTAAAATTTTCCAGGAAATTCTTCTGCTTACATTTAAGCACGCAAGCATTTGGAAAGTATTACTACAAAAGTAATGCCTCCTATTTTACTATGCTGGAATACAATACTAGAGGTAGATGTTGGCATGGTATGGCCGTAGAGGCTGAACCTTCTCAAAAATATTCCATTACATTTTGATGCTGTGAGACAGACAGACAAGGAACAGTATGACAAAATGGGGTATAATGTAGAAATATGCATTTATTAAGGTTTCAGCAGTGGCAACAGTGAAGTGAAAGACATGAAAACACTTTTTCAATGCAGCGGAATACTGGTGGGAAGGTTCTATCTCTACTGCCATACCACCAACATCCACCTCTCACACTGTGGGACAACATAATGAAGCAGGAGGAGCAGCCCACTATAAATCAAAAGTTGAAACATCAACTTTCAGTATAACATATTTTTTTTCCCACTATAGAGCCCAACTACATTTTATACTGTTGGTTCTGTAACCAGTTTTCAACATTAAGGTTTTCTTAATGGAAGAATTATAGTGTGTTGTAATAAGGCACTATCAACCATATTTATTTTTGTTTTGTTTGGTATGAAGCACAAATATATTTCTGAGTCAGAGGATTTCACTTCACTCTAACTTAAAAGTAAGCTGATAGTAAGAGAGACTTTGAGGCTAAGAAATTAAGAGGTCCGGAGTTGTGTCTTTCCATGTTATTTCTCAGCATCTGCGGTTTGAAACAGGGTCAGTGCAGTGACTGCTACACTACAAATTTCGGTTACTTCGCTTTTAGAGCCAAGATCCAACACCGTCACTTTCTGATTTGTCCCCAGCAGCCAGCTGGGACAACCAGGGAAGAGGGAGCGATCCCGGTGACACGGACGTACATACAATTCAAGGCCTTGCACGCAAGCACCACGTTTATTGCTTTCCTCCCTTTTGGGACACACTCCCAGCCACTCACGAGCGCCGCACACACGGGGCTACAGCTTCCGTTGCTTGTGCCGGGGATTGGTCTTGCAGCAGACGTACAGCCGGCCCCGGCGGCGAACAATATAGCAGTCCTTGCAGCGCCTTTTTATCGACGTTTTAGTCTTCAGCCCCGCACAGAGCTGCAGCAGCCCAGGCAGCGGCGGGCCGGCCAGCAGTACCCGCCTGCGGGCGGTCTCCCCACTGCACAGCGGCACGGGGATGGCCGCCATCCGCCACGGTGGCGCCAGCGAGCACAAGGGCGAGCGGCCCAGCGAGCGGAGCGGCCCGGCGGTGACCCTGGCCAGGAAGGACAGCATGATCCGCGCCCTGCGGGGACAGCAAGTTATGAGCGCACCGACCGCCACCAGCTCCTCGCCCTGCTCCACCCTGCCCCTCTTCTCCCTCCCTTCAGTGAGGCGCAGCGCGCGCAGCCCGACCGTTACCGACCCCGCCGCCCCAAAGAACGACAACCGCTCCTCTTCCCGTCGGGCCGAGGGCTCCTTCCCGCGTGAGCCGCGCGCACGCGCAATGCCGAGACCAGGCGGAAGAAGGGGCGGAGGACGCGTGTGCGCCCGCCCGCCGAAGCGGGCTCAAGATGGCGGCGCCCTGGGCGACCTTTCACTGCTTGCTGCGGCCCTGGGGGCGGTCGGTGCTGCTCCGTCAGGCTGCTGCCGTCTCCATTCGGTTCTATGGTGTGCGGGCTGCCGCCACGGGCGAGCTGGTGACGCACACGGGGCAGGTGAGGGGCTGTGGCGGAGGGTCTAGTGCTTGTAGGCTGAGGGCTGGGAGCAGCCCGCTAGGGAGCTGGCTGGGTGCGGGGAGCTCTAGATTTTCTTGGGCGTGGAGCCAGGCAGGCAGTAGCTGAGGGAACGTTTTTATCTTATGTCGTTGCGAAGCTACACTGTTTGCATTTTCTGCCCTCAGAAACCTTGGATAGACTGAACCCATCCATGATCTTGTGTTGTTGGTTTTTTTTTTCCCTCTATGCTCATGTAGCCATCTTGCAAATCCCCTTTTTTTGTGGCCTGAACAAAGTACTCCGTAGGCAAGCATTTTCTACTTGTTTCCCTTTATTTTGAGTGTATGTATGTCACTCCATAATGAATGTCTTTATTTATTTCTGTAGAACCCACAGCAGATACGAGTGTGATAATATATTTGGTAGAGCAGATTCTCAGCTACAAAGAGCTACTTAACAGTATAGTCACCACTATTAGCTGTGCATTTTGGCCAATGATGAACGAACGTTTGCATGCTGAACTCATAAAACTCTGCACCAGCCAAGGTGATTTGCTGTTGCCAGTGCTGAAACGCAGCACCTACTGCCTCACTGTGTTCTTATGCACTGTTTGGTCTCCATCAACGGTGAGCATGCATCCACGAATGCCAGTGGGTGCTACTTTTTCCTCATAGAGAAATTTGATGGCATGTCCTCGCTTCATCTTCATTTCCTTGTTAGATGCCGTGTTGTCAGACTGCCACACTGCTGTCATCTGTCACACAGTGAGAAAATGTAATGGAATATTGTCAGGAAGGTTCAACTCAGGAGGGGAGTCAGCTCTTTGAAAGGATAGATAGATAACAGCAGGACAAGGGGAAATGGTTTTAAGTTGAGGGAGGGAAGATTTAGGTTGGATGTCAGGGGGAAGTTCTTAACAGAGGGAGTGGTGAGGTGCTGGAACAGGCTTCCCAGAGAGGTTGTGGATGCCCCGTCTCTGGAGGTGTTCAAGGCCAGGTTGGATGGGGCCCTGGGCAGCCTGGTCTAGTATTAAATGGCAAGGTTGGTGGCCCTGCATGTGGCAGGGGGTTTGGAGATTCATGATCCTTGAGGTCCCTTCCAACCCTGACCATTCTGTGATTCTGTGAGCTTCTACTGCCGTACCACCAACATCTGCCTCAGATGTTGTGAGCCAGTGTAATTAAACAGGAGGCATTACTTTTAGAGAAACCCTGGATATTAATTCTGAGTTATTGCAACTCTGTAGTTCATTAGTTCTGATTAGAACCTTCTTGTAACACGTTTAATTCTTGACAACCTATTCCTGTTAGGTGATGGTTGAATCTTTAAGTTGATCCATGAAAAATGCAGAGAAAGTTCTTTGGAAATTAAATGTTTGCAATGTTATGAACCAGAGTATCCAGACAGCATACAATTTCTGTCAGATAACTGGCTTACAGTAGAGTTGAATGCTTCCTTATTTAATGCATGCTATAGAATTCGTTGTTGTTGGATGCTACGTAGTCAAAACTTGTGTGCATGTTTTTTTAGTCATAAGCATTGTAGTTAAAAAACAAAAATAACATGTTGGCAGATAGGAGGTAATCTTGTTTAAGTTCATTTCTTGTATTCTTCAATAAATATATACAAGCTGAGTATGGCAACTAGAGAGAGCCATGTAATGTTTTGTGGAGTTCTGACAGAGGTGTGGCTGTGCAGTTGATGTTGGAAGGCCATATATATGGCTACTTGACTGTTTTTCATATATATTAGAAAGTTTTATTTTATTCATATATATATGTGTACATACATAAAAAAATAAAACTTAAGTTTCGTAGTTCAGTTCACCTTCCAGATGACACTGTGATCAAGGAACAAGTAATAAATCTGTTGGTGTTTCTGGTCATTGCTAAGGCTTCTATTTACCAGCTTTAACCACCTCTGCCTTGTTGCTTCCTACCCCTTATCTTCTGTTTTCCAACCTATGTTTTCTTGAGGAGAAAGGGGAATTGTTGTTTTTTTTTTTCCTGTGCAGTGCATGCTGGCAAGATGAAACTTGTGAAGCGCTTTAAATAATTTAATCATGATAGTGTTCTTAGCTTTTGTAAGCTTTGTTTGTGGTCAAGGCTTTTTAAATAACATGAAGTTTGCTTCATATTTCAGGTGTATGATGAAAAGGATTACAGGAGAGTTAGATTTGTTGGACGGCAAAAGGAGGTAACCTACTACTACTTTCTCTCCGAGGAGTGGGAATAACTTTATTAATGTGAACTACCTGTCAATTACTTGGATTTGTAGCATGTTTTAGTTTTAGACAATCTTTTATGTGCTTACAATGTCTTTAGGCAGGAAAACATTGCATATTATAAAAGATAATCAATAATAGCTACCCAGAAAACACATACTAGACATATTTTTGAATACTGAAACTATCTTATGGGTAAGTAGTACACTGAGGATACCAGTAATTTTTTTTTTAATGTGTATTTTGATATTTCAGGTTATATGTTACCTGTGACTTGTCCTAGAAACTCAGATTTTAGTGAAATCACAATGCTAGTATGGTTATGTTTCCATGCATAATTATGGTAACAAGAATTCTGTGACTTACACGTTTAAGAAGAGCAAAGAAATCCAAAACTCTTGATTATTCTCTCTGTTTAAGAAAGGTGTCCTTTAAGAGTAACTAAATTCAGAAAGTTCTCAACATGTAGTAGTGTTGTATTATTCGTGAGAAATACCTGGCCCTGTTTTTCTGTAGGGATTGTGCGACGTGACGTTGCTTGGTTACTGACTGAAGTTAGGCCCTTCAAACATGTTTTTAATATTTCTTCTTTTCCAAACTATCAGTTAAATTTCAAAACTGGAATAAGCTGAATAAAGACTTCCTCAGATGTTTTATCTGGTCTTGTTCACTTGCTGGCCTTTAGGAGAGAATTAAATATTGTTTTAACTCGTCGGTGTTCACCAGTACCTGAATATCTCATTAATGTCTTAGTGTTAATGCTGTAAATATGTATGCATACAAAAGACATTAAGATGTGGTAGATTTTTAACGTGTTCACACGTAAATATTACCGTTCTAATTAACTTAATTATTTTAACTATATTTTTGAGTTTTTATGTTGAATTTTCCTCCATTCAGGAGTTTCATAAGATATGAGCTATTTAACTCATACTGCATAGCAAAAGTAGGAATTCTACATGGGAAATAGTTAAATGAGAATGCCACTGAACATGTATTAAGCAGTTTACTTCTGAGAGAATCCTGATGAAGTCTTTTCCAAATGCCATGTTTGTTTCTGTGTTAGTAGGAGATGCACTTTGGCTTTAATTTTCTAGAGACTGTGGGTCCCTTGATGTGCTTTTGTGAACAGTTTATTTCTGTCTCACTTTTTGTATGAAGGAATTCTGTAGTTCATCCTTTGCTCCACTTTTCCCAGCAAATGGCAAACTGCAAGTCTGTTAAGCACCATCAAATGCTTGGTTTTAATCGTGATGCCTGAATCAAATTTGCATGGCTTTACGGTTATCTTAGTAGTTTCCCAAATGCTTTTTGACTGGTGGTGTTGAAACTTTGCAGAAGTGTCTACAGTCTTAATGCTGTCTTGTTTCTGACGCTAGCCTGCTGAGTTGATGATAGTGCTTTCTCAGTTCTCTTTTCCTTAATGTGCTCTCCTTAATCAAACTGGAGCACTTACCAGACAAATGGTCTCAATGGCTGCACAATTTGGACTGCAGTCCTTGGTTACACATGTCCTCAATGAAGTCTGACTACATGCCTTGGTTTGGCACATGGTTTCTCTGAGCTCATGCCAGGCTCTAGGAGACAAGGTCCAGGTTATTTGTATATTGTCCCTTCAGTTCTGTCAGTCTAATTGTTTGACTAATGGAATCCATGTGTTTTAGTTGAAATCATTGTTCCCTATGCGGCGTCTTGAATGTTTAACTGTAGAGAACCAGGGGATTAATGATCTCTGGTAAGGATCTCAAACAGTCACTGTGAGAAGACTGAGAATGGCAGCTATTAAACTGCATCTGCTGCAGTCAGAACAGTGTAATCTTGTTCTTGTGTAATCCCAAAGATACCAGAGAATCTAATACCACACACACCTTCCACTTCAGCGCTACCTTTCCTATTGTGCCAGCGCAGCAGCTGAAGCTGTGAGATTAACTAACAAAAAAAATTTCCTAAAACTCAGATTCCTGCATGTTAGTGAATTTTACATGCAGTGTAATAGACAATGCCTTATTTGGGGTTTCATATATTTTTTTAATAAACTTGTATGTGTAACGTTATCTTTGATAGAAATAGTTTTGTGACCTCGTTGGACAAAGGTAGCTTGAATGGAAGAAAAAAAAAAAATGCTATGGATTCTACCCAGGTGCAAGTCACTCAGCTGCATGCCTCTGACACACTCAAGGAATGGTTATATTTGTCAAGTTGTGTAGACATGCTCAAGTAAAAGTCCTACAGCCAGTGACATCCAATTCAGGAATTCTGTATAAGGTGAATTTACAGAGCAGCATAATGTTCAGATGGTTTTTTTTTTTGTTTGTTTCTGATTTGGAACAATTTGCTTTTCTAATTGTTAGGCACCATGGTAATGGTTTTTTTCAGCTTCATGTGTGCTGGTGCAATAACTTGTATGATAGGAGGCTCTAAGCTATTGGCAGTTTTCTCTCCTAACCTTACTTGTCCCACTGTTATTTTTGAGTTTATCAGCGCAGAGTCTTTTTGCAGTTTTATCATCTAGTGGCAAAAGTACAGTACAGAGGCAGCATCAGTTAAATATTTTCTATTTTCAGCTGCTTGCTTGTTCCTGCTCACCTCTTTGCTGAATCTGGCTAGGTCATGTTGTAAGCCTGAGCACTGTGTCAGGGAAAGGGGATGGTTTTTGCTGCATTTAATATCTTCAATTTGCTGATCTATTTTACAGCACCACCTAAATTGCTGCAGCTGTGGGCAAGGTGGAAGGAAACATTTTGGAGCTTCTCTAGATGGCTGCAGTGGAGCTACTTGGGGAAACAGTAAACAGCACTTGTTTTCTGTTTGGTTAACTTTACCACTCAAAAGCTTTTTTTTTGTTTGTTTTCCCTCTTGCAGGTGAACAAGAATTTTGCAATTGATTTAATAGCAGAGCAGCCTGTGAGTGAGGTTGAAAGCAGAATTATATCGTGCGATGGAGGTGGTGGAGCTTTGGGACATCCTAAAGTGTACATAAACTTGGTAATATTGCTATTCTTCATATAGCCTGTTTTACTTGTTAATTCTTATCTGTAAGATGATCTTTTAGCATGTTAATTGAACAAAGTAAAAGAGTAACTACAGAGCAGCTCATTTTATTTAGCGCTTGATGTAAAATTAAGAGAAGTTAGAGAGTTTCCGCTTGAAGTTACCAGAAATTTTTCTTGTGATGTTGATTTGTTAGAAATGGTGTTTTTTTCTTTTCTGAAAAAAGAAGTTAACTGCAAAGTACTATGAACAAGCAGTGCCTTGTAAGCAGAAATACTTGCTCTGTTTTAAGGCGCTTAGTCTAGGTGTTTAAATGCTGCATATTTTGGATCATGCAGCTTATACTGAGTGTTTCAAGTTCAAGGACTAAATGAAATGTATTTTCAGTTCATGAGAATCCTGGTAGTTCTGAAGATTGAAAGATTCCATTGTAGAGAATCAATGAAGAAATAAGGCCTATATCTTTCTATTGTCCTTGACAGTAGTGATACAGTGTCTTTCTGGGGAGTAATAACATTGAGACTACTAATGAACTCAGTAGAGTTCCAGCTGATTAAGTTTTGTTCTCAGGCAAACTCTTGCAGTGGATGACTTTGTCTTTGCTTGCTCATCTAAACTTTGGTATTTAATACTCAGGATAGTGGGAGACGCTAGTGTTCTTTAGCAGCAGTGTTGTTGCAACTCTCAACTACAAATACAGACATTTATATTTGAACAAACTAAGCATTTTATAATGAATCATTTTACATTCTTCAAAGCAGATGTTCTGATATCCTAATTCAAACTTGGAAGCTTTTCTTAGTCTTAGGAAGTTAATGTCTATAGCACACTGCTGATTTGTTGACTCCTTTTGCCCTGCATTGCACTCTTCTTCAGGAATTCTTTAGCTTTTGTTACTTTTGAGATCTTTGTGTTAACAGACAAATTCTGCAACATCTGTAGTTTAAATCTTGAATGCTAATACCTGCAGAAAGTTCTGTAAAGTGAAACTAGCAGCTTCTGTGTTTTTATATTTTTGCAGGACAAAGACACAAAGACTGGAACGTGTGGCTACTGTGGACTTCAGTTTAAACAGAAACATCACTGAATGATTACCTGCATGCTTGCACATATCTGTTAAGATGTTAATGCTTAACTATAAATAAACAGTGTGCTTAAAAGCTCAAGACGAACATTTGTGTTTATCTTAACTATGGAAAGTCCAGTCTGCACATCTTTAAAACCTACCTTTATAATTATTGATGACCTAAAAGGCATATTATCTGTATGGTACTTATTTTTGTTTTTATGGCACAAGTGTCTTGTTTGGCAGGCTTCTTTTGGACTTGAAGGTGGCATTAGACTACAGCAAAGGTGGTTTGTGACAAGTGGACTTGTATTCTTTTGAACACTGAATTGGATTTAAATGACTGGGCAGTAGATTATCCTGGAATATTGTTTTTTGGTGTTGTTTGACACTGTTAATTTGCTCATGGCTTTGAATCTAGCTATGTTCAAAAATAAAAACGATAGAAAAATAGAATATTCAGCACTGTAACATTTACAGATGTGTATCTCAGAAGCAAGACTGTGGTCTTTGAATTAAGCAGCTGTGCTTCCTTTATTTTATAAAAAGTGTGAGCTGAAGGGTGTGGATATAAGCACTTCTCTTCCATATGAGAAGATTAGAACATAAATAACTAATTTTGCTTGGATTTCACACATTTGAAGCCACTTTAGGAATTGGTCTCATCAGGTTCAAGAAAGTAGAGTTACTGCTCCATTTCAGATACCATCTTTTTCTCCAATATTTTGTTAGGTGGGGGCTGTTAGTTGTCAGGCTGTGTAATGCCACTGAGGCCGTGTTAGGCTGTTTGAAGGACATCATCTTAGAACCATGGAATAGAATCCACTAAACCATGTCACTCAATACAACATCTAAACATTTCTTGAACACCTCCAGGATGGTGATTTCACCACCTCCATGGGCAGCCTATTCCAGCGCCTGACCACTCAGAGAAGAAGAATTTCCTAACATCCAACCTGAATCTCCCCTAGTGCAACTTGGGGCCATTCCATCTAATATTATCTTTAGTTGTGCAGAAGAGGCTGGCTCCCACCTTACCACAACCTCCCTTCAGGTAGTTGTACAGAGCAATAAGGTCAACCCTGAACCTCCTCCAGACTAAACAATCCCAGCTCCCTCAGCTGCTCCTCACGAGGCTTGTGCTCCAGATCCCTCACTAACTTCATTGCTCTGCACTGCTGCCTTCTTGCTTAATTTTATTTCTGTAGCATTCCAGAATGACTTTCAGATAAGATATGTGCCCAGAGAAGGATGGGAACTTCTGCTTCAGAGAGAGCTTTGATCTCTTGCTGTCAGGTGACTTTTTTTTTTAAACTAGTAATGAGAAGTGGTCCCAGGCAGTTGTTGCTGCTTGGTTGAAGTTCAGTGGGATAGATTCTACTAAAGCTGCTCTTCATATTACTTTAACTAAATTGGTAATGGTGTCAAGTTGAATAAAATCAAATCATTGCTACTAAACTAACTTGTGTCAATCTGTAGATGAAGCTGAACTACTGCAATCAGTCTTAAGGGAAGGTGTAAACTATTCTGTCTGTAGAAGTTATACTTACAGGCTATCACTGCAGTTCCTTAGATGCATATGCACCTCTTTTTTTTAAAAAAAAAAAAAAAAAAAAGCAACAAACTTCCATGTCAGAGAGCTTAATCTTCCTGTCTATTTCTTTCCACTTTTCTTCTTTGTCACTTCCATTGCTGCTCATTTCAGTGATCATCAGACTGGCCTTCATTCTTTGTAATGATGTAGGCTAAAGAGGTAATGATTTATAAGTATGTTGCTGTACATGACTGATGAAATTCACTTATGTGCTATCATCTCTGCAAAAAGATACGTTGTTGTATGTGGTCATCTTCTTTGTGCCTTTGATTTTACTTATGAATAATTTATCTACTTGGGTCACTGTTGTTCATAATAAATTAACAATGTTTAAGTTGGCACGGCATCTGCTGAGGACTCTTTGACAAATCCCTTCCCACTGGTCTCAGCTATGGAATTCTGTTCTTGTTCTCCCTAAAGTACTTGTTTCATGTAGAGCTATCGATTTCCACTGGTGAAGCAGGGAAGGTCTGTACTTTGCACTGACAATTGTCATAGGAAAACTCCAGACTTCACTACATATTTCCTGGCGGCTAGGTTTACATATCTAGTTGTGCATGGCTATTTATATGAAGACTCTTGCACTTCAGGTCCTACCATCCACATATCTGAAAAAAACAACTTTAATCAGCATGAAGAAAAAGTGAGGGAAACCAGAAATTATTGTTGCTACAAGTGAATGTGTGTGGAAATGGATTTATGACTGTAGACTAAAACACTGAATTATTAAAGCAGAATTATGCTTCTTAGACAAAAATTCTGATTAGAAGGCAGTATGGAGTAAAACATACAGACCTGAATTCTCAGTCACTGTTCTGTTTTTCATAGATAACTTCTTCCAAGGTTGGAAGTATAGACTCTTGTTCCAGTTACCATAGTACAAACCATAACGTATGCTCAGATACTATGAAAATAGGGAGTATTCTCCATCCTCTAATTAAAAAAAGCAACTAAAAATTGGTTTATAGACTGAGTCTAGTTAGTCTGTAAAAAGTATAAAGCACTATTTTATCTAACTGACTTTAATGTGCAAGTGCATCTTTTTAAAGTTTCTTTGAATCATAGAGCATCTGACTGTACTCTGGAGTTTGCTCTTGTAATGTGCTTCTCAAAATTAGCAGACAGCACCCCTACACCTCCTGTGCAAATATTAAATAAAATACAGCATACAGTAATAGCAGTAGAAATGTTTAGTTCTGTAATAGCTGCATTGTTGGGATTCTTTGGTATGTTCTCTGCTATTGATCTGCAAAGCTTTAAGAGTAATTTAATTTTTGTGGTGGCCTCTGAGTGTGTTCTCTAAACCTGAAGCCAAGGATTGTTGAAAATTGCATCTGTCAATTCAGCCTTGCTAGTGGAATGGATTGATTGGGGTAGAAATGACCTTGTATTCAACTTGTCATGAATATTATGGTGTAAATTATTATGCCTTGTCAGACACCCACCAGAACTTGTGTAATTAGGGAAGAATAGCAGTTTCATCAGAAGCAATATATCACAACAAGAAAAGTATAATCAAAACCATAATACATATCCTTGCTGTAAATGTCATTGATTTGGATGATGATACTTTCACATACTTTTCTTTTTGTCAAGCGTTGTTCAGCATTTAACAGCTGGTGCAACAAGATGCACGGAAGAACATGCACATCCAAGTAGTGGCAACTTTTGTTCCAGGCTTTCTAGATCACAAGTCTCCAAATTTTCTATTGAGTGATTGCAGCGTGAAGTTGCAAGTTGAACGTGCTGACTGTTTTTTGCCATGCTGAGAACAGCTCATGGAGCTCAGATATGGTGCACAGTAACAGGAGCTTTATTTTTCTGCACCTAAAAGTTCTGCAGTCATTCTTGATTACTCCAGGTCTGCATTGCCATCCAATGACTTGATACTCGTTTTGCCATCTGAAATACTTAGCATTCCGGTGTCAAAAATTGAGATGACAAACCAAACGCTGTCATGTGAAAGAACAGATTATGTAAGAGGAACCAAAAATGCAATTTCTGCAGAATGAAACTATCAGTAGGTTTAAAGCATACATTGAAATGATCTAAGGAAGCAGTCGTTTGTCTAGATTTTCTTTTAAGCTTGTCTGGATCAAGAAATCTAAAACTCTGTTCACTACAGTGGTTAATGATCAGAATGAAATCTCTATTCTTGTAATAATTACGCATTTAGATGAAAAATCTAATAGGAAATTCGAGACCTCATGGCATTGCAACTTGGCAAAATACTGCATAATCTTTATTAACCTTCACATAGTGTTTTTATCTTAACATCAAGTATTTTCCATTTGTGCTAACTTTATCTAAGCCTTAGTCACTGTCTTTTGAAATTTATTTTCTCTATTGGAGAAGAGGGGAGAAAATAACGTAGAGGCCTGTGTAAGTATGTTTGCTTGGGACAAGATAGCTTCTTTCAGAAGATGTAGCTAAGAACGTAAGAATAAAATTTACATCATTTTAATGACCATATATGTTCTTCTGAACTTTGATGTGTAAGAAAGAGTCTCTTTCAAAGAAAACTTGGAAGTAAAGCATTTTTTTCCTTCCAGGAAGGACTTGTAATCTTTTTTTCTTCCCTTCAATAAGATGCATCTTCTCCTGCTGCTCGAGGTGGAACTGTGATTTAGTACCTAATTAGACTTTGGGAAGTACCTCAATCTTTGCACTGTGCGGCCCTCTTTGGAGTTTTTCAGCTTTAGACATTATGAAACCTGGTTCTCATGCATCAACTGCTGAAAGGAAATCTGAAATGTTTTGCATGTGAAAAATGCATTTGTAAACAGGTCGGAGTATCAAAGATTAGCAGAACCTCAAATAAGGGAGTTGCTTTGAATTTTAATTATCAAGATAATTGAATGCCATTCTCTCTGTGTAATAAAGGCGAGCTGGAAGCACTAGCTTGAAGATCAGGAAAGATGCTATTGCCTGTCTACACGTAGAATATTCTTACCTATAGTATTATTAATATATTGATTGATTTATAAACTTCCTTGAGCTTATTAGGATTCTTGTTTCTTCTACATAGATACACAGCTGTGTCTCTGAAGGTATAGAATACTTCAAATTGGTACCTATAACTTGAACATGGTGAAATCTGGTATTTTCAGATTCAGTAACAGATTCTGAGGCTCAAGGGTGGGAGTTCAAATTAGGTAAAATTTTAGTTTAAAACCATGCTTTGTATTTTTCTATATAGTTGTGATCCTCCTATTAAAAATAATATATATTTTTTAAGTATTATAATCGGAGAAATTTTAGGGAAGGGCAAATGAGACAAAGACACGAAAGGTTTGCGTATGAAGAAGGATGGACTAAGTAGCCTGGAATGTTTTTTAGCATGTTTAGGGTTATGATAGAGGTCTACAAAATCCTGAATGGTTGGCAAAAGTAGATCAGATATTTTAAAAGTTATACCATGGATGTTTGTACAAATGATGAACTGGTTCTGAGAGTTCCTGGTCAGATTTAATAAAGAAGTTGATTAAAAAAATCTATATATTGGG